TATATATATATATATTTGTACTAGTTTGAGTCAGCATAAGTTTGAAACACAATTCATATACTTGACTTTTTAAAAGGTGTTTTAATTAAATATAATCATAATGTTTAAAACGTTCTAATCATCTTAATTTGACTTTTAAAAAAATTATATCATACTTTGAAAAAATAATTATTTTAAAATGATATTTCAACTATAATTTTAATGTTTAAGAAAATTGGTGTTTTCATCATTTACAATTAAATAAATTTATAATTTTTTTTAAAATTTTTGATAGTAGTAATTTCACTATTTTGCTTTGCTGGAGTAAAATATTGAGTTGTTAGGTTGCATGATTTTTACTGAAATATGAATTCAGTGAGTGAATATTATTGAATTTTATATCATATTTGTATTACAATTTGAGTTTTAGCATTGTGGTAATTGGTGGACCGACTTGTCTGAGCTCGACTGATTGAGGCGACCGATTGAGTGGCAATTGTGTCTTCCGAAGTGCGTGTCGGTTGGTCAAGACACTCGTTCGTATGACGATGCCGCTCGCTCCTAGTCGGTTGGCCAACTACAATCGAGTTTGTCGTGGCTCACTTGTCGTTCAACTCTAGTCTTACAGGTGTCGTGTCTCGCATGCCCGATAAGGTCGTCGCCTCGGCCAGATCTCCCTATCTCACAAGGTATTGAGCGGATTTTGTTGCTGCCTATTCAAGGTAACTGACAATACTCGCAGTTAGGATGATCTACGCTTCACTCTCAGAGGATCTCGCCGCTACCGAGCAGGATACCATCTTTAGAGCTTGGACTTATCTCGAGCTCGGAGACAGAATTTATCGCACTCGGAATAGAATCGCTGGTTGATTTCTTACCTCAAATGAAAGCTATTTTTTCTAGGCTGTTCATTGCCTTAAAGATTCGTGTCAACATTTTTGTTGTATACAATTAAATAATAATTTTCTTTTTGAAGCATTTCAATTCATTATAAATACATATGTTTTTCAATAAAGTTTTTTTTTTCGAACGGTATTAATATTAATTTAAATTTTTC